TTTCATGTAAAAAAAATTGCAACAAAAATTGCAACAAATATACACCATAGAAAGTTCGTGACGTAGACAAAATGTGTTTGACATCAGGGGCGTAGCTACGGGGGGGCTGAGGGGGCACGAGCCCCCACAAATTTTCTGTGCCCCCCCCCAGGTGCCCTCCCACTGAAAATTCATGCTTGATAAAAAATTGAATTATAAAACAATGCCGCTTAGAACGTATAATACAAAGAAAAGTTATATATTGTGCCCCCCACGAAAATGTAAGGTCCCCCCCTCAGTGCCCCCTCGCTGAAAAAATCCTAGCTACGCCACTGTTTGACATGTGTACGGTTTGCTACGTACGCGCCTCTGCTGGAATTACCCGGGCTCAGAAGTTAACGATGTGTTTCGGTAAATAAGTTACTACATTTTTATTCGATGCCGTGGTCCGATGCATGATAGAAACAGGATAATATATTATTATTCACTCCTGACTATTATTATTCACTCCTGATAGAAATCGCGATCACACGTATAGATTATTTCGAAGACGGTGAGGACTCAGGGTCTCCCATGAGCATTGTCCTCAGCCACCTGACGCGTTTCCAATATTATAACGAAAGTAAATTCAATACAAATTATATTTACGATCAAAGTTTCAATGTTTATTTATTCTATATATTGTATAATAGGTTTCATGTACATGCTGGTCAATTACTCTTCCGCTCTACAACACACATCACACAATGTCACCGCACGCCCGCCAATTGTGCACAATTGTGTCTTAAGAAATTCTTATAAGGGATACTATGTCACGTTATTATGCCCAAATGGCTGTGCACTCGGCAACCCTCAGACTCGTACATAGTTCGTTTCACCGGGACACTTACCCTTAATCGTTCTAAATTTCAGGCAAAGTCAATTCGTACTTATATTCAGTAACCTGACTAAAGACATGATTTTAGTAGGGGACGGGCTGGCTATTCTCAAATATCGAGGTGTGCTCGTGTATATGCCGTTGTTAGAGGTGAAAGCCACTGAATTTGGTCCACGAAACTTCGACACTATCGAAATGTGGTTTTTATTTATTTAATAGCTGAAATTTGTTCAAGGATTGGAGCCAGAGCATTGAATGCGGAACCGCTATCATATAGAAACCAGTTTCGTGCGGCAACGAAAATTATAGTAACCATTTGGTACAGTAACATGAGTTTGAGGGCGCATTCGTTGTAATCCTTACGTGATAATACAGGCATAACACTTATCGGAGGCGTGATAGTGCAAGAGGCAATAGCATAACAACGTGACTCTATTATACTACATTACACGATTTTAGTTTTGAATATATGTTTATATTACTCTATACACCGTAAGCTGTTTTGACACAGAAGTACGATTTTTATTTTTGAATATATTAGATTTATATTACTCTATACACCGTAAGCTGTTTTGACACAGAAGTACGATTTTTATTTTTGAATATATTAGATTTATATTACTCTATACACCGTAAGCTGTTTTGACACAGAAGTACGATTTTTATTTTTGAATATATTAGATTTATATTACTCTATACACCGTAAGCTGTTTTGACACAGAAGTACGATTTTTATTTTTGAATATATT